CAAACTCAATTTTTCCTTTTTAATATATAACTTTATAACGATCATTATAATTATAACATCAATAAATGAAATAATAATTCAATTTTTGGCTTAAAGAACAAAAATGATGTCAACATGTTTAATCAAACTTCATTTTAAAAGAAATTTAATGTACTTCATTAGTTATAACTTAATAATATCAGTCTTTAACAATGGTTTATTCTTAAAGAAGATAGCCATATAATAACACACTAAATTATAATACCAAGTTAGAGTATAATTTTTTAATTTCAGTTCAGTTCAATAAGAATCAATTGCTTAACTTATTTTATCTGTTTCTATTAACAGATGAATTGAATTATGAATGTTCAGGATTGATTTTCAAATGCTTTCCTAATCAATATTTTAAATCAGCTAAACTCTTTCTTTCTGAATTGTTTAATGTTAACAAAAATTACCATATAGAATAAAAGCATTAATTTTAATATTTTCCCTAAAATTCATAATACAAAATATATTGAGTATACTTTAATAAAACATTAATGAATCTTGGAAAAAATTGTAAATTGTATGTTTTAAAACAAGGCACTAATTTTAAATGATCTGAAATGTATTTTGTACAAGAATTTCAGAAAATAAAATTCTTGTATTAATTTTTTTCATTTAAGTTGCCATAGAATGTCAAAAAAAATATCTAAATTGTAAATTATTTTATCTTTGAAGAACAAAATTTCATAATTATTCACTATTATATATATTTATTTTAGATATCTTATTCTATGGCATATAAGATGTAAAGATGGCATATAAGATGTATAAGATGACTTTTGTCCAAAAAGGCTCAAATTTTCCATGTGACTATGCAAAGTTGTAATCTCTCGTAGGTTAATGAATTCCTCAAATGACCTTCAGTAGGCCCAATAAAACAACCTAATAAAAATGTTATTGTTTAATTAAACATAATGCATTGGACAGTGAAGAATGGAAAAGATTAGAGGAGACCTTCATCCAGCAGTGGATTGATAATGGTTGAATATGATGTAGTAGTAGTTCTTCCAATGCTAGGTAGCATACTGGGCAGCAATTATCTTCCATTAATTTCGACCATGGTTGAGTGCTTCAGCTTCCTCCCAAGTCATATTGAACCTCTTCAAATCTTGAAGAAAAGTTCTATGCAGAGTATTCCTGGGGCATTCTTGTGGTCATTTGGCACCAGGGGGAACCCATTTCTTGGCTGTCTTAGGGATTCTATTGTTCTCTATACAAAAATGTGGTCGGCCAGTCAGACTCTTCTATGGACACAATGTTATGAAGTTTGCACATCCCACTTCTTTGGAGAACATCTCCATTGGTGATATGATCTAAATATCAGATCTTTAGGATTCATCATAGGCAAAGATGCCTATGACGAATCCTAAGATTCCTAGTGATTGCTTGCCATGTGCAATCAATAGGAAAAACTATTTTCCATTGCAGAGACAACCTTTCTTTAGAGATTGGACATGGCAAGCAATGAAGATAGGACTAGTATACATCTGTAATGCAATTTTTACTTTGGAAAACATCAATAGAAATTTAATAATGTCTTCCAGGAATCACTAGCATAAACAGCTATCAAAATCATGATGGAGGTGAATAGGTGGAATTTGGTTCTCAATGAGATGGATGGTGAGGAACATATCTTGTTCATCCACCAGAAGACTCGCCACTTTTCTGCTGCGTCACTTCATGTCCATTACTGCGTCACCATTTTGAGGAATAACACTACCTAAGTAGGTGAATCTCTCCACTTCCTCCAATTGTTGTGTTCTGACAATTACTCCCTGCGTTTGGGCATACATGCATAATTTTCAATTACATACATGCATAATTTTCAATTTTATGGTGTTTATCCTGATGCCAATTTTGTGTGCCTTCCAACCCAATGTGGCTGTGGCATGCTATAGCATTGTCTTGCTTTCCTGTTATAGGGCAATTATTATCAGCAAAAACCAAATCTCCAAGACGGTCCTCGTCAAACCAGTGGATGCCAGTTCCAATGTATGCACTGGACGCTTCTGCTCATTGCATGACATAATCAAGGGTGATGAGGAAAAGGAAAGGGGACAGGACATAACCCTACCTGACTCCTGTCATAATTTCAAGTCTGTATGATCACCTTCAGTCTTGACGCAACAACTTGAATGCAGCTATAAGCCTTGAAAATGATGACAGTTTGTTGGTACACCATATAATTGCAGGATCTACCAGAGGGACTTACGGCAAACACTGTCAAAAGCCTTCTTGAAATCAATGAAATTGATGGCCAATTGGTGTTGATGCTAATGCATTGTTCAATGAAATTTCAAAGGGAGAAGATCTGCTTGCTGCACGATCTTCCACAGCAAAACCCAACTTGCTCCTCCTGCAAGCACTGATCAAGGGCAATCCACAGGCATCGAAGGAGGACCAAACAAAAGCCTTTCCAGGCACAGAAAGGGAGGATGATACTTCACCAATTAATACATTCAGAGATAGCTCCTCTCTCAGGAATTCTGACTTTAGCAACCCTTTTCCAATCCTCTGGGTCTTTCCCACATTTCCAACACCTGTTAAACAATAACGTTAGCTTTTTTCCAACATGGGCTGCCTTCCAGGCTTCAAAATCTCAAGCCTTAATTTCGTCCAAACCAGCTATCTTACTATTCTTTAGGCTCTTAATTGCAAGCTCCACTTCCTCAAGGGCAATATCACCAATGTCCACTTGAAGCTCATCCTGTGTATCCTCAATATCAAAATCATATATGATGGTCTGTTCTGCTTGATTGTTTCCTGAAAATGTTCCATCCATCTTTTGTTCTGCTCATCTTGAGTGATGAGAAGCTTCCCATTTTTGTCTTTTATTGAAATGCTGGAGTTACTCCTCATCCCAGTCAGTTCATTGACTATGCAGTACAGGGTCTTGGAGTCATTCTGGTTGGAAGCCTCCTGTGCTTCAGTGCCCTTTCATTCTAACCATTTTTTCTTGTCTTTCCAACAGTTTTTCTTTACACCAACTATCCAACTCTGTGTATCTTTGGTTCAGTTCCTCCATCTTAGCCATTGTTTTAGCCTGATCCCTTTTTAAGTTTTACATCTTTCCTCTCAACAATCAACTTCCATGAGCGATCTTGGATCTACTGATCCTTTCATCGACCTTGACATCTTCCAATGATGTTTTGGGTGCACTTTGTGATAATGTCTTTGAGGTTCCCTCAGAGATCTTCTATGTCTGTCATCACTCCAAGAAGGACGAAGTGATTGTCCAACTCCAGAGTAAATGCTTTGGTTATGATTGGATCATTTAATTTTTCTCTCACAAATGATCTTTTTAGCATGAACTGTTTTTGATTATGAAGTTTGAGTTTAATATCTGCCCTAACTAGGTAATGGTCAGATCCAATATCTGCACTTTTGTAAACCCTCACATCGCGCAATGATACCTCGACTTTTTACTAATACAAATAAAGTCTATTGTCTATCTCATTAAAAGTGTGCCTGTCTGGTGACTGCCAGGTCGTCTTATGAATAAGCCAATGCTGGAAGTAGATGTTCCCAACACACAACCAATTGTGTTCACAAAATGATGTTAACCTTTCTCCATTGTCATGCATATAAACATAGGATGCATGAGCAGCAATCAGTCTTGAGTCCTCAATGATCACCGCCCAATTGGGCATTAAAGTCTCCGAACAGGACCCTTGGGTCATGATTTGGGATACCATTAAAGACGTCTTGTAGCTGCTCATAAAATTTATCTTTTATTGTGACCTCCAACGTTGGTTGGTGCATAAATCTGCATCACAGTCTCTTTGGCATGTCCATGGGTAAAGCAAGCTGTAATAATCCAATCACTGAAGGGCCTCCATCCAAGTAGTGCTTTCATCACTTGTTTACTCAGAATAAGACCTACTCCACATTCATGCTACTCTTCATGGCCTGCATACGGAATGGTCTTGCCATCACTACTGATTTGGCTGTTTGTTATCCATCTAACCTCACTGACGCTAAGGATGTCCAACCAGTTTTCATCAAATGTCCGTAATAGCTGAACAAGTCTTCCGCTCTGATATAGGGTAAGCACATTCCAATTTTTGTAATATTTCTGGCAGAAAAAATCATTTCCAACATCAGACACCGTTGTTGTCAGTTTTCTTCGATGCCGTAATATTACTTGGAACCAAAGTTCTGCTCATTCAATTGAAATTTCTGTTTATTCTTGCTGTTTCTGTAGCACTCATAATTTTTACAGGGATGGGTTGGTTGTTAACTCGATGCCCAACCCTCCTTCTTTTGCATCTAGGCTCACTTATTAGCTAATGAAGCTTAAAATTTTAACTGTTTATTTTAAACGTTCTATTCCATATATATATATATATATATGTTGTATTTATATGTTATATATATATATACATCATATAGATTTATTTATGGAATAGAACGTTTAAACGGTTAAAATTTTAAGACACCCTGTATGTATGCACACCCACACGCACACACGGTGTCTCAGTTAAACGTTCAGAACTTCTAAGAGGGGTAGGGTGCATCCCGACAACTCGGAATCATATAGAAATGCTTTCCTGAAGTGGTGATGTACACAGTAACAGCTAACTTCTGGTGCAAGCTTGCAGAGAAATTATGGCTGGGAATACGCCTCATCGGATATCGTTCCGTGTACAAGTGCTGTGCAGCTGGCCCACTACAATCTGCAGACCCATACACCAAATGCATATTGGCTAATTCTGCATCTTTTGTGTGAAATGGTAATTCCTTGCAAGAACGCTTGAAACTTTTGCACACTGCCATCTACCACATCAGGAAAGCATTTCTGACACCACGTTGCTATATGATTTTGAGTCGTCGGGATGCACCCTACTCCTTGTAGAAGTTCTGAAACGTTTAACTGGGACACCCTGTATATTAGTGAATAATTTATTAATAGAATAATGTAATCCAAAAATAACTGAATTAATAGATTTTTATTAATAAATATATTTTTTTAGTTTTGAGGAATGGATAAATTCAAAGAATTTAACATTGCTGCAATACAGGAACATAAATTACTTTGATAGCTACTTATCTAAAATGGAAAATAAATATATCAATGATAAAGATTTTATGAAACAGGTAAGTCAGAAATTTATATATATACTAATATAATCTGATAATATAATTTCTTCTCAAGATTACAGTTCAATTTTCATTCATTCACTAACAGTATTTAACTGTAATTTTTCCAATAATGCAAAGCAGTGTATAATCTGCAAAAGCAATCTTTTGTTGATCAAAAAAGCTTATGTAATCCAAACAAGTTTCAGTTTAAAATACATCAGTAATGAAATGATGAAATTTGCAATGGCATTTAAAAATATTTATTTTTAAATTATTAAATCTAGGAAAAGTATTAAATAATTTATTTTAAAAACAAGTACCAGTACATAATATAAGTTTAAAATCCAGAATTATAAAAAAAATTGTTAGTTTCTTCAAATTTTTAAAGTTGTCTTCCTTTCTGTCATGTCGAATCACCAGGAACAAACAGTCTTTGTAGAGATGATCTTTTATTATAGCCTCTATCCTTTAATAAAAGATTCTCTGCAAAGACTGTTTTTTTTTTCCTGGTGATTGGACATGATGGAAAGGAAAATGACTTGTTTTACTGTTAGCCATTTTAATTGAAAAAATTGTTCTCCTAGACTAGTTTTAGCTGGTGGGCAAATTATATATTTTGCAAATTTCAGGCAAGATTTTACAAATTAATCATGATATGACAATTGCAGTATAGAATTGCATGAGCTATGTTGTGGGTTTGTAACTAATGTCCTTAAATCACAAACAATGTTGTCAGAAATAACTAAAGAAATTTGTAAACTGTATATTATTATAATTTATATTGTTAGGTTCAGATTTGGGTTTAATCCATGTATTATTGTACTGTTTGAATTAATTATACTTTACTTTAACATAAATTATTGGAACCCCTTTAAGTGAAATCTTGATTACTTCTAACATACCAACATATATGATGTATTGAGCATATCCTCTGGGGTGCTTATGCTGCTGCAGTAGCTCATTGATACCAAAGCAATCTTGTTACTTTAAAATAAAAATACTGTAAATATAATAATACATCACTTTCTGCTATTGAAGCCATATGATGATCTTACACGGGGAAAAAAGCAGAAAAATTTTATATCTGACAAGTGTGTGGACCACAGTAGAGTACAGACAAAAGATAATTGAATGTGAATTCAAAATAACTAATGTTGATAATTTCTAGTGAAAATAAGAAATGTACTAATTTTGTATTTTTTTTTTTCTATTCCTCATTTTGGAATCAAACTAAGATTCCAAAATGATTAAATTATGATTATCATTGATATCAATGATATAAATTATGATTATCATTGATATCATAATTTATATAATTTATAATCTATAAATTCAAAATTATCAATTATCCATTTTTCTTCTTCTATTAAATAACTTTAGGAAGCTAATGAAAAAATAATGATGTAAAAAGTTATGTAACTAAGGCAATTGAGTAGCATTCTCTGAAAAACAGTTGAGCATTTATCTTGAATTGGCTCACCCATATTATCTGATTTCCCCACCCATTTTCTCAAAATCCTGATATGCCACAGTATTCTATAGCAGTGGTTCTCTGTCTTTTTTTGAAGTCGTGGAACACTAAACTTTGACACTTTTTTTCTGCAGAACACTTACAATACATCAGCTTTAAAGCAGGGTGGCAAACCTTTTTGAAATCAAGCGCACTTTGTCTAGTAGATGACGACATTGGCATTTGCTGATTACATTCCCACACAAAAGTTATTTTACATTGTATTGATATTTCTTTTGTGAAATTTTTAATTGTATATTTGATTTTTTGTGGAACACTTGAAGTGGCTTCACAGAGCACCCATGTTCCGCAGACCACGGATTGAGAACCATGGTTCTACAGTATATACATATTAATACTTCTCTTTCAATTTGTACTTGCTAAATTTCATTTCTACTTTGCCATTAGTTACAACTGCATCAACTGTAGTTGTAACCAAAGGAAATTATTAAATATTTTAAATATATTTAAACAAAATATTGTTAGCATTAAATGTAAAAACAAAAAGTAAAAATTTCACTGGGGTCAGTATAAAAATTACATTTAAAAATTTGTTCAAGAAAAATCTTCGTTCCACACAACTTGAATTATTAACTGATTTTTTGGGATCTAATGGTATTCAACAACTTCCTGTAGTATAGAACACTACTGAAGAGGCTTTGGCAATGTTACCAAGGTGAAATACATTAGGAGTTAACACCTTCTTTTTTTTTTTTTTATTGAAGTTCAAATAAAACTTGCTCACTGTTGTTTGTTCTGACCATACCTCTAAAAGTTGGTTTAGAATGAAGATTCTTCTTGAACAAATTTTTAAATGTAATATTTTTTGGTTATAAATTATATATGATAGTTTGTAATTATATAAAGAACTTTGTTTACAGAAGAAAAATGGAATAACTTGTGAAAAGCCTCAAACATTACCCAGTATTAATTGGCAGAAACTACTGATAGAATTGAAAGCTCTTTTAGAAAAGGTATGAAATATTTCTGAAAAATATTCTTGTACATAATTATAAATGTAAACCTATATTTATATATTTTATTTTACATTATCAACACTGTTACATGGCTTTAAGATTTCTGATCTGAACTAAATCTTTAGTTCAGATCAGAAATCTAACAGTCTTTAGTTAGACTGTGTTGCTTAGTTTTAGTTCAGTTTTAGTGTAGTTTTAGAGAAGTGTGTAGAGATCCCCTGTAGGACGAGGTCTGCGGGGTTAAACAAAAATTAACGGACAAATCGGCTTGACAGATATACTAGCTTTTAATTAATTTCAGTTTGGCACGATTGCGATATATACATAGAACACAAAATTGACGATTTCTACAATATTTACGTAGTACAAATAAAATGCTACACATGTTTATGCACTTCCCTCTTTCCTCCTCTCCCTTAAGGGGGCTCATGACACATTATAACAGAGGAGTGACGAAAGGTGCATAACAAAGAAAAAATTATGAACTACATTGTTTGGAAGAATCCTCCGCTGATTTTCTTTCTTTCAAATATGTTGTAACTCGATGTAAAACTGTCCTTAGTTGGATGTTAACGGATTGCCATATCTCCACTTTATTTCCATTTTCAACCCTCTCACGCTTGGTGTCTTGATCTCCTATATCCACGTGTCCAGAACACTGCAAATCGGGAACAAGAAAAACCCGACCTTTTATAACCAAGTGTATATCCTCCTCATGTGACCTCTACTGGCCAATCTGGCTGCCGACATGAGGTGAATTGGGGAAAGATGACACCACGAACAAAAACAAAGGGGTCAAGGGAAAAACCAAAACAAACAAAAAAAAAAGTCGTGAAGCACTAGAAGTGTTTGGAAAATTAATACCCTACTTGTAAGTTGATAAAACAACAACATTTAATTACTGAACTAACTACACTATTGATGCACACTTGGTTCTATACAAAGTTACACATAAATGATACTTCAGATTTACTGATATAAAAACATACAATACTTACAATAAACTATACTCTGCCTGTGTTGCATTTTTGCACCTTATCCAAGCTATGCTCTGTAGTCTGAAAGATGATATACAGTACTTATCTTATGGCTGGGAGTCATCTTTATGTTTCCATGACTTGCAGCAAAAATAGCTTTCCAGATGGCTGGCATATTACAGCATGGTCGTGAAAATTTGCAGGAAGTTGGAGTGTCAGGGATGACAGAAGGGTTTGAATCAACCACATAACTTCCAATCCTGACATGGGGATTTTAAACTGTTTTTGGTTAAGCCCTTGGGCCACAATTGGTTATTGACAGTGGTGATATTCGAAATATTTAACAAAGGGTTCGCTAACAGAAAATTTTTCCATAACAATTTTTTTCTCAAGTTGACTGCCTGTGCACAGTCAACTTGAGAAGAACCTGGATATTACATGCAATGATAAAACTGACATAACTACGTGGTAAGTCACGAACACTGACAAACAAAATGGAAGTTTTGGTTAGAAATAAATACAATACTTTTTCTTGCAATATATCTAGTAATAGACAGATGTCATCGTCTCTCGAAATACAATATCTTTTTTATTTCGCTGTTGATAGCTCGACATGTGATCTGCAGCCATCTTGTATTTTCTCGCGCGCGTGGGATTGTGGGATCTCTCTTATGACTGGATCTAGTTTCAAGAATTCTCTTGAGTGGATCGCCATTGAACCTTGTATCAGTCGAGATTGAAACGGTCGAGGGAGGTCGCACCAAGGCAAATGGGGGTTTTCTTTTAACCCTTTCCACCCTGTGCACTAAGAGGGCCTCTTTTTGCAAGCCCATTATGGGTTCAGCCAGGCCCACAATGGGGCTGCCGGGTGGTGAGGTGCAGGGCTCGACATATCCGAGCAGACCATCCCCGAAAAATTCCTGGGGATTTTACGACCTGTTTGGATTCGAGCCCGGGTCCCCCAGAGCGGTAGGCTGCCGCCTTGACCGCTCGGCCATCCGGCTGCAGGAAAATGGGATATAAAGCTCTAGTTTAGTAGTGTCACAGAGTATAATATGTGTATTTTGATATATTTTTTAAAAGAAACAAAACCACTGAGAAATGTGTGTTTAACAAGGTTCGGAAAACTTTGAAAATGTTAACAATGGGTTCGGCCAAACCTGTGCGAACCCGCTGAATATCACCACTGGTTATTGACCTCCCAATCCAAGTGTTTTTCCTGTCTGTGACATTAGAAGCAAAGGGCCACCATCAGCTTGAAGATGAATCACGTTTCCTAAGTTTGAAATTGCATCTTTCTCTCTCTCTCACTTACTAAACAGCTTTTAGCCTCCAAATAACTTATTACTGTATATTCCATATGGACATTGAGATATGTTATTACTCCCAGAGATACTAAGTTTACTACTTAGTATACATTTGAACTTCAAAGTGCATAAAACACTTTCCAAATGTATCATAAAAGATGGGGGTAAGTACAGTTTGAACATATTTACTGCAATACTACTTACTATAAGTGATTTCACACATGTTACCGACTTCTCATTTATTGGCAAGCCATATACACCATTATGAAAAATTAGATTATGGGTACCTTTTCTTGTTTTTTTCTTTTCAACATGTTCAAAACAGTTAAGCAGACTGCCAACTATGAAATAGTCTATTTATAATTTATTTTGTATACTAGTACATTCTATATATTAACAGGACTTATTATACTAGAATTATGGATGCAGATATTTAGTCTTACAGTTTAAAAATAATGTTCTTTATTAAGTATTATTTTTAAACTGTAAGACTAAATATCTGCATCCATAATTCCAGTATAATAAGTCCTGTTAATATATAGAATGTACTAGTATACAAAATAAATTATAAATAGTGTTAAAAAAGGACAAAAAGGCATAATAATTATGAAATAGTCTGTTCATTTTTTGCATTCAAAAACTGTGAAACCTTTGGACATTCATCAGATTTTGTGAGGTTACCAGTTATGAAATGGTAACGATAAGACAGAAGACAGGTTAATAAAGGTCACAAGAACATGAATAAACGTTAGTTGACTATTTGATCAGTGATGATTTTTATGCATGCAATTGATGTGAAAGTTTGTGAGAATAGTTTTGTTCTGACCATACCTCTAAAAGTTGGTTTAGAATGAAGATTTTTTGAACAAATTTTTAAATGTAATATTATTTTGTTAAAAATTTTGTGGTGGTGTGGAGGGCAAAAAAAAAGATGACAAAGAAGTAACTATAAATTAAATAGGATTTTTATTTAACTACAGTTACGTGGTCCTTCGTACACCTGGTTCATTTACACTAAACACACTTGATCCCAAACTATAGTACGCACACAAGTTCGAAGCCGTCCGACAAATTTCTATGCTTTCACGGGCAGGAGACACGTGCTTGCGACAATGCAAAATTACGGTTTGAAATACTACAACTAACTTAAATCTACCTTAATCTAACTTATATGCTAAGGAAGAAGGGTGAAGAAATTAAGAGATAGGCCTACTAAGAGAAGAGACAAGTATAAAGGACAGATTTGTGGGGGATACCCGGGTAAACTTGGGAGTCTCCGATCTTCTCTATATCGGTACTTGAATTAACTCAATTTCCTTCCTCTTGATTCTGTCTCTTGAGAATTTGGGAGCGTTTTTCTTGAAGTCTTAATCTGGGTGTCTTTCTAATTTTCGTCCGTTTGCAGACGACTTCCAAGCCTTCTCCGTTTGTCCCACTAGGTGACAAACCTTTAGCTTGCTGTTTCCTACGTCTGTACACCTCGGACGCTGACCCGAAAGTGTCTTGTTCGTTTTCCTGATGGCCTCAGGGCTTCTTAATGTCCCCTTTGTCTTCTCCCCTTTGTCCTTGGACAAAGGTTGTCCCCCACCCACAGAAAAGGAATAGGTTAGAAAGTTCTAGAAACACGTTAAAGACAAAGGAATTTAGGAGAAATAAAATTTATATCTACCCCTATTTACAAAGACATGGCGTACCGCCACAATTCTCTCTCCTGCATTGCCTGCAAATTTCAAGGATTGTTCTCTTTGAATTAGTCTAAATTGATCTGTCACTATCAGAAATTAGTCACACTGGGTGCAACATATGCTCACCAAGAAAAACAAAAAACAAGTAGGTGACCAGTGCATTAATCTTTCTCATGTGATACAGTGAGCAAAGTGATGGGTTCTTGAATGATATCACAGGTGATGAAACATGATGTTCTAAATGACACTGGAATCAAGGTATCTGTTCCTAAGTGGACACCTCATCCACAAAAAAGCAGAAATCCAAACAGACAATTGCAGACAATCTGCAAGATAACATGCACCATTTTTGGGATGATCATGGAGTTTGCTTATTGAATTCTTGTTTAACAGAACAACAATAAACAAATTTACTTAACTACCTTATTTTTGCTGAGAAATGTTTACATAATCAGAAATGTTTTCAACCTAACTCAATGGGTTGAGAATGTGCTTATGTAAGCATTTTTTTTGCAAGAATAAGGTGTCAAGTTTTTCATGGTTGGGTGTGTTATTTAGATTACAACAATAAACTTTAGCAGTTTATTGTAATACCCTGAATAAATTGCATTGTATGAACCATAAAAAAGGCATGACATGCTTATTCATTTGTGTTGCTTTATGACAATGCTTGGTTGCACATTGCTGCTCAAGTCCTCATCACATCATTTGGCTGGAACACCTTCCTACAAACTAGACTATCAAGTGACTCATCTATTCATGCATCTAAAGTTTCTTGCTCACCAGTCTTTCTTCAACAGTGTTGACATCATAAAAATAGTGTAGAGACTAGACTACCTTCACACACAGCCCAATTCTACAAGAAAAGGAATACAGGTGGCCAGTGGCAGACTGGCCAGGATATCAGTTTGCCCAATGGCAAGTGGGCTTTCTTAAGATTAGACAATATGTTAAAAATATTAAATGACTTTATTTTAGCTTAAAAATATAATAGAAATTCTATTAGTATTATTATATGCAACTAAAAT